GTCACAAGAGGACACAGCAACAAGAGGACACAGCAACAGGGGGACACAGTCACAAGGGGACACAACAACAAGGGGATACAACAACAAGGGGACACAACAACAAGGCGACACAACTACAAAGGGACACAGCAACAAGGAGACACAACAATAAGGGGACATAGCAAAAAGGGGACACAGCAACTAGGGGACACAGTCACAAGGGGACACAGCAACAAGGGGACACAGCAACAAGGGATACAGTCACAAGGGGACACAGCAACAAAAGGTCACAGCAACAAAAGGTCACAACAACAAGGGGACACAGCAACAAGGGGACACAGTAACAAGGGGACACAACAAAAAGGGGACACAGCAACAAGAGGACACAGCAACAAGGGGACACAGCAACAGGGGACACAGCAACAAGGGGACACAGCAAAAAGGGGACACAGCAACAAGGGGACACTGCAATAAGGGGACACAGCAACAAGGATACACAGCAACAAGGGAACACATCAACAAAGGAACACAGCAACAAGGGATACAGTCACAAGGGGACACAGCAACAAGAGGTCACAACAACAAGGGGACACAGCAACAAGGGGACACAGTAACAAGGGGACACAGCAAAAAGCGGACACAGCAAAAAGCGGACACAGCAACAAGGGGACACAGCAACAAGCGGACACAGCAACAAGGGGACACAGCAACAAGGGGACACAGCAACAAGGGGACACAGCAACAAGGAGACACAGCAACAAGGAGACACAAGGTAGACAAAGACAGGATGTTCCAGAGATGAGACACAGCAACAAGAGGACACAGTTGGAAGTAGAAGACACAGATGAATCAAAGGGAAGTTAGGAAGTACTTCTTCAGCCACAGAGTAGTCAGGAAGTGGAATAGCCTGGGAAGCGATGTAGTGGAGGCAGGATCCATACATAGGTTTAAGAAGAGGTATGATAAAGCTCATGGAGCAGGGATAAAGTGAAGAGGCGGCGCCAGGAGCAGTGAATCGACCCCTGCTACCACAAATAGGTCAGCACACACACACACAATAAGACATTAATCGTTCAATTATTGCCTAGTGTTGAAACTGTGTTCTACCTGTGTAGGTTAGAGTTTCTTTAGAAACTATAACTAGGGAATGTTGCTACTGGTAGACTTGAAACTTTGGGTGTGGTTAGTACTTGGATGGGTGACCACCTGGACACACCAAATGCTCCTGGCATCCAACTTTATTGAGGTTTCCTTAAGACACCTGCTGTCACTGTTCACCTAGCAGTAAGTAGGTACCTGGATATTAGTCACCTTTACACCTGCTGTCACTGTTTACCTAGCAGTAAGTAGGTACCTGGATATTAGTCACCTTTACACCTGCTGTCACTGTTCACCTAGCAGTAAGTAGGTACCTGGATATTAGTCACCTTTACACCTGCTGTCACTGTTCACCTAGCAGTAAGTAGGTACCTGGATATTAGTCACCTTTACACCTGCTGTCACTGTTCATCTAGCAGTAAGTAGGTACCTGGATATTAGTCACCTTTACACCTGCTGTCACTGTTCACCTAGCAGTAAGTAGGTACCTGGATATTAGTCACCTTTACACCTGCTGTCACTGTTCACCTAGCAGTAAGTAGGTACCTTGATATTAGTCACCTTTACACCTGCTGTCACTGTTCACCTAGCAGTAAGTAGGTACCTGGATATTAGTCACCTTTACACCTGCTGTCACTGTTCACCTAGCAGTAAGTAGGTACCTGGATATTAGTCACCTTTACACCTGCTGTCACTGTTCACATAGCAGTAAGTAGGTACCTGGATATTAGTCACCTTTACACCTGCTGTCACTGTTCACCTAGCAGTAAGTAGGTGCCTGGATATTAGTCACCTTTACACCTGCTGTCACTGTTCACCTAGTAGTAAGTAGGTAAATGCTCACCATAACAAGGGACTTTCTATATAGTAGTATGTCACTGATGTCAGCTATGATCTGTATACCTTGTACATGTACTTGTAGTAAATAAAGATTATTATAATTATTATTATTATTATTATTATTATTATTATTGTAGCCCGGTGGCCTGGTGGCTAAAGCTCCCGCTTCACACACGGAGGGCCCGGGTTCGATTCCCGGCGGGTGGAAACATTTCGACACGTTTCCTTACACTATTGTCCTGTTCACCTAGCAGCAAATAGGTACCTGGGTGTTAGTCAACTGGTGTGGGTCGCATCCTGGGGGACAAGATTAAGGACCACAATGGAAATAAGTTAGACAGTCCTCGATGACGCACTGACTTTCTTGGGTTATCCTAGGTGGCTAACCCTCCGGGGTTAAAAATCTGGACGAAATCTTATCTTATCTTATCTTATTATAAAGGTTAAGCTGGACACAGGTATATCATAGAGATTTTTGTGTCTACGGGTCGTGTCGCAACTACAGTATCATGAAGCTTCTGGTCGGATCAAAATTAATACAGTGGACCCCCGCATAACGATTACCTCCGAATGCGACCAATTATGTAAGTGTATTTATGTAAGTGCGTTTGTACGTGTATGTTTGGGGGTCTGAAATGGACTAATCTACTTCACAATATTCCTTATGGGAACAAATTCGGTCAGTACTGGCACCTGAACATACTTCTGGAGTGAAAAAATATCGTTAACCGGGGGTCCACTGTATTTATTGTTCTGTATATGTAGGCTGTGCAGTACTATAAGTGAATGTTTTATATAGAGTTTATTATTATTAAAATCAAGCACTAAACCCTCAAGGGTCATAGAATGCTGCTATACAGTGAGTAGGTTTAGGTGATTGAAGAGTAGGGGGGTGTTTGTGGTACATAATAAGTTGTCTTTGAGGGGATCCCAACTGTTTTCGACACTTTTTTTTCTTTGTGTTGGATGTGGGTGTCATGGTGCAGACCCAGAATTTTCCCCCATTATATTTAGCAATAAGAGTATTGTTAATCATAATGTTTAGTTGGCCATTACTTCCTCTGCTCCCAGACATAATGTAGAAAGTCTTGTTGGTGTTAAGTGTGAGTTTATTGACAATTATGTCATTGAAAGAACTTACATTTGGGTGGGAGATGACAAAAGTTGTGTCTCCAGCAAAGAGAACATTTGTAAGTTGTTGTGATATATTTGAAAGATCACTGATGTATAAGAGGAAAGGTAGAGGACCAAGGATGCTTCCCTGTGGAACACCAATGTCCGCAGGTCTTTTAGAACAGATTAGATTAGATTTTGCCACCGAAGTGGCTAGTTTATTGTGCACCCCATATCCATCCTGTGGACGGTAGCACAAGAGCATATTTTTAAAAAAAAGTTGTATCTTTAGAGATATATTACTGTCTTAGTAAATTAAGACTTGATGGAAGTGCATGACCTTTGATACTGTAATGAGGTGCAGGATGCTGTGGTCTATAGTATCAAAAGCTTTCCTAAGATCAATATTATTATTACAATCATGGGGAAGCGCTATACCCGTAGGATTATGCAGCTCATGTGGTGGGGGGGGATGGAAGGTACAGTGGACCCCCGCATAACGATTACCTCTGAATGCGACCAATTATGTAAGTGTATTTATGTAAGTGCGTTTGTACGTGTATGTTTGGGGGTCTGAAATGGACTAATCTACTTCACAATATTCCTTATGAGAACAAATTCGGTCAGTACTGACACCTGAACATACTTCTGGAGTGAAAAAATATCGTTAACCGGGGGTCCACTGTATTCAGGCTCAATTCAGGGAACCGGAGCACAGATCCAATTCCCTAGAACAAGAGCCCCTCACCAGCTTCAAGGACTAAGATCAAGGACTAAGATCAAGGGCTAAGATCAATGAAGGGGCCTAGTGGATATTCATTATATTCAAGAACTATGTTAAGAAGGTTGCATTTTTATAATTGCATCGTTTGTACTTTTTCCTGGTCTGAAACCAAACTGTCAGGTACTAAGTATATCGAATGCTATATTATTATTATTATCAAAACCAAGTGCTAAACCCACCAGGGTCATACAGCGAATGATGCCATAAGGAAGTACAATCTCTTATTTTTCAAAAAATTTTGGATAACAATGGTAAGTTAGATATTGGCCGGACTCGAGTCCTGGAGATGGGAAGTACAGTGTCGGCACTCTGAAGGAGGGGTATTAATGTTGAAGTTTTATAACCATAGTGTAAGTGCACCTCTGGCAAGATAGTGATGGAGTGAATGATGATGAAAGTTTTTCTTTTTCGGGCCACCCTGCCTTGGTGGGAAACAGCCGATGTGTTAATAAAAAAAAAATGAATGTACAGTGGACCCCCGGTTTACGATATTATTTCATTCCAGAAGTATGTTCAGGTGCCAGTACTGACCGAATTTGCTCCCATAAGGAATATTGTGAATTAGATTAGTCCATTTCAGACCCCCAAACATACACGTACAAACGCACTTACATAAATACACTTACATAATTGGTCGCATTGGGAGGTGATCGTAAACCGGGGGTCCACTATAATATTAATATTAAGCATTGAACCCTTGGGTAACAGGCAGGAATCAAGTTTAGTCGATGGTGAGAATAGCTCCACTTTCTTGGATCTCAAATCTTTTCAATACCACCACCAATGGCACCCCGTTGAAGGGCATGTGATCTCCCGCTCTTACTCCCAATTCTCAGAAAAATAAGGATAGAACAAAAACACACAATACCGTGACTGGAAGAATACACAAATAACCCGCACATAGGAGAGAGGAACTTACAACAGCGCTTTGGTCCGACCGAAACGCTGTCTTAAGCTCCTCTGTGTGGGTTATCTGTGTATTATTATTATTATTATAATCAAGGGGGAAGCGCTAAACCTGGAGGATTATACAGCGCCTGGGGGGGGATGTGGAAGGCATTCAGGCTTAATTCAGGGAACTGGAGCACAGATCCAATTCCCTAAATCAAGAGCCCCTCACCAACATCAAGGAACCTTCCTTGAGGGGGTTATCTGTGTAAAAACAAGGATAATTAAAATATTGTATCTAATAATAATGTTTATTGAAAATTCAGGTACATTGTACACACTTGTGTGTACTTCATGGTAGTCCCTTAATAGTAATTATCATGCAGGTACCAACAGGGACATCACAGTATACCATAACTTCCCTCAACAAATAATCTATACGAGGAAATGCTGAATATTTTGTGGGGAAAAAAAATTATGCATACTTCGAGACACTTATTAGATTAAATGCTTCACCAGGAGTGACTTCTACAGTTGTAATGAAGCCATTTGGCTTCTATAGTCATAATGAGGCCACTTGGCTTCTAACATCATAATGAGGCCACTTGGATTCTAACATCATAATGAGGCCACTTGGCTTCTACAGTCATAATGAGGTCACTTGGATTCTAGTCATAATGAGGCCACTTGGGTTCTACAGTCATAATGAGGCCACTTGGATTCTAGTCATAATGAGGCCACTTGGCTTCTACAATCATAATGAAACTGCTTGGCTGCTACAGTCATAATGAGGCCACTTGGATTCTACAGTCATAATGAGGCCACTTGGATTCTACAGTCATAATGAGGCCACTTGGCTTCTACAGTCATAATGAGGCCATTTGTCTTCTACAGTCATAATAAAGCCATTTGTCTTCATTATGGCTGAAGGAGCCACTCACAGAGTAATATTTCCTATAATAAATATCCAGAACTGTACACGTTTCTTTTTTCACATCTAGTCAACATCACCATGCAAAATGTTTTAACATGTTGCAGATCATTGTCAAGCTGCAACTTGCATTTAACAGGAGAGGATAAATTATTCCGGCCATGATGCAACAGGCAGTGAAATTCTCTTCATTAGCCATAATTCCCGTTCATGTGGTGTCCTCTTGAATTTAAACCTCTTAAGAGTTCAAACAGTAAACCACCCAGGGTTTATACATTAAACCTCTCTTGACAGATGGTAAAACCATCTTCTTCCCACTCTCTCTTTGTCACCAGCATCTCTGGAAAGTGTGCAGATCTGCTGATGGCAGCGCCGCCTCTCCAGGCATATGTGGTCGGACTGGAAAAGAGAAACATAAAGGTGACAATCTGGCACAGTACAGAACACCCACAAGCTGTGCTTAAAAACAAATATTCAGACACTTACGCTTCCGCCTGGTAATCTCGCAATAGTTGAGATCACAACAGCTGATATCACTGGATCTCTCTAAATTCCAGCCTACCTCACATTTCCCCTATACTATTATGGGATTATACAGCACCTGTGGGAGGGGATAGCATTCAGGCTTAATTCAGGGAACTGGACCACAGATACAGTTCCCTTGATCAAGAGCCCCTCACCAGCGTCAAGGAACCTCCCTTGAGGGGTCGTGTAACCTATATTGTGTTTCTCGGCCCTGTGTATGGAATGACAAGGATCCCTGGACTTTCAGCATTACCATCAAATATCCTCAGTATCTGATCCTCCATCTTTAATCACAAAACTGATTTTCCTTAACCTAACCTGCAATGCAGGTACTGTACAGTGCCTGTACTCTGAAGAACGGGTGGGGATGTTACAGTACTGGAGGTGTGAAATATAGTGCCTGCACTCTAAAGGATGGGTGGGGATGTTACAGTACTGGAGATGTGAAGTACAGTGCCTGCACTCTAAAGGATGGGTGGGGATGCTACAGTACTGGAGGTGTGAAGTACAGTGCCTGCACTCTGAGAATGTGAGGGGATGTTACAGTACTGGAGGTGTGAAGTACAGTGCCTGCACTCTGAGAATGTGAGGGGATGTTACAGTACTGGAGGTGTGAAGTACAGTGCCTGTACTGTGAAGAATGGGTGGGGATATTGCAGTACTGGAGGTGTGAAGTACAGTGTCTGTACATTGAAGAAGGGATACCTGCAATTTTGAACTGTAGTATCAATGCCATTCTGGCAAGATAGTGATGGAGTGAGTGATGGTGAAAATTTTTTTTTTTTTTGGGGGGTCACCCTGCCTAGGTGGAAGACAGCCGATGTGTTAAAAAAAAAACTCTTCTTTTTAAGAACTTACTTCTTTGCAATAGTTACATTAATGTCGTATTCATCAGGAGACATAGACCGAACATCCTTATAAACTCTGTCTTTAAACCCGGGAAAATTGCAGTTACCACCAGTCAGTAGAATATTTCTGAAAAAAAAAAATAACGTATTACTAAAACTGCTGATAAACGAGCACTGTAAATAATGATATGGATATCAATAAGAGACAAGACGTATCATAGCAGAAAAGACATGAGAGTTCTCTCCAAGGATAATGAAATAACGATAGAGGTAATTTAACCATCAATGAAAAAATCAGATACAGTATATTATAAACTGTAATGACTGTCACCATCTGTAATGACTATCACCATCTGTAATGACTATCACCATCTGTAATGACTATCACCATCTGTAATGACTATCGCCATCTGTAATGACTATCGCCATCTGTAATGACTATCGCCATCTGTAATGACTATCGCCATCTGTAATGACTATCGCCATCTGTAATGACTATCGCCATCTGTAATGACTATCGCCATCTGTAATGACTATCGCCATCTGTAATGACTATCGCCATCTGTAATGACTATCACCATCTGTAATGACTATCACCATCTGTAATGACTATCACCATCTGTAATGACTATCACCATCTGTAATGACTATCACCAACTGAAATGACTATCACCATCTGAAATGACTATCACCATCTGTAATGACTATCACCATCTGTAATGACTATACAATTCTATTACTAACTGTAATGTGACTGGAAAATATGTCTATGATTTTCAAGGCTTCAAGGTGGGAACCGTGCAATATACACACCTGATATAACGTATAACAAGAGTGGTATTACCAGTATATACAATGTACACACCTGATATACTATATAACAGTAATCTTACCAGTACATACACTGTACATACCTGTATAAATGAGGCCTTGTTTCTTCCGGGCATTTGTTAATAGAATGAACTATAGCCTCGGTGATGCCCATCTCCTGGATACCAACGTCACTTGGGTAGAACAACAGCTCTGGAACACTCACACGTTCATTGTTCAGACGAACGATCTGAAAATACAGTGGACCCCCGGTTTACGATCACCTCCCAATGCGACCAATTATGTAAGTGTATTTATGTAGGTGCATTTGTACGTGTATGTTTGGGGGTCTGAAAGGGACTAATCTAATTCACAATATTCCTTATGGGAACAAATTCGTTCAGTACTGGCACCTGAACATACTTCTGGAATGAAATAATATCGTAAACTGGGGGTCCACTGTACATGTGATAACTCCGGTACAGGTACAGGTTAGGTAAGGTCTGTCAGGAAACAGGACAAGTGTTTCCTCTTATGGTGACTAAAATGCTGGGAGCAAGGGGCAAGTAACTCCTTCTCCTGTATAAATTACTAAAATTATGAAGACTTTTTTTTTTTTTTTATCAGTCACCCTGCCTTGGTGGGATATGACTGGTGTGTTTAAAATAAATAAATAAATAATAATATTAATGTGTCTAGCAATTTCTAAACAATGCCAGATTTAATAAGTTTTACTGTAAATTAAAACTACCGTATGAACACCACAAGGACGTTATTCTTAACCCGTAAACGGTCCAAACGTATATATACGTTTTTTCAACATTTGAAAGTATGTAAAAAAAGTAGATCTTCTTTTTGTTTTTTTTTACATTTGAAAATGTGTAAAAAAACTTTGATCTACTTTTTTTTTTGTTATATTTGAAAATATGTAAAAAGAACGTAGATCTACTTTTGTAGCACTACGCATGTGAACGTAGATCTGCTTGGACCGTTTACGGGTTAAAATAGATAAATAAATAATAATAATAATGCGTCTAGCAATTTCTAAACAATGCCAGATTTAATACGTTTTAATGTAAATTAAAACTACCGTATGAACACCACAAGGACGTTATTCTTAAATAAAGTAGTAAATACAGTAAGCTCTCTTATAAAGTCCTTCTATAAAGTGAAATTTCATTTTTGCAACTGTGATTGAAGACATGCAATCAGAACTGACTAGCACCAACTATGAAGGCATTTTCACTTATTTAATTTTAATGGACTTGTTGCAACTGCATTTGCAAAAAATGTGCACTATATGGAGAAGCCTTATAAGAGAGCTCACTATATTAATATTAGTGTATTATATTATAGTACTGTATATTATTATAGCTGACAAATGCTATTTAAGCCTAATGATCAGTCAGCCCTCGATTTAACCAACCAATGGAGGGTAAGCGGGCGGCTGGTAATTGGAGTTGTGGCGGACAGAGAAGAGGTTGTGCTGTGATACTAACAACAGCGGACAATCCTGCTACCGATGGATTTTGTCCATTCCAATTCAAATGATGCAGTGAATTTCATGTCCATTCTAATTCAACTGATCCAGTGAATTTTGTGCCTATGCTAATTCAACTGATGCAATGAATTTCATTCTATATTTCCAAAATATAGGTAGTAGGTTGGTAGACAGCAACCGCCCAGGAAGGTACTACTGTCCTGCCAAGTGAGTGTAAAACGAAAGCCTGTAATTGTTTTACATGATGGTAGGATTGCTGGTGTCCATTTTTGTCTCATAAACATGCAAGGTTTCAGGTATGTCTTGCTACTTCTACTTACACTTAGGTCACATGACACATACATGTACAAGCTTATATATACACACCCCTCTGGGTTTTCTTCTATTTTCTTACTATTTTTTTTTTTTTTTTTTTTTTTACACAGGGTTTGACAAGGTTAACCCTTTCAGGGTCCGTCCCGTAGATCTACGGCTTTATGTTCAGGGTCCAAACCGTAGATCTACATCATGAGCTCAGCTCACTCTGATAAACTGTGAGTGGTAAATTTGGGCCTAGATATGAGAGAATACATCTATGTGGTATGTGTGCACCACATAAAACAAATCCTGCAGCTCACTGTGTATAATGAGAGGAAAAAAACTGAGACCGTGATTTTCGATTAAAACAGCGACTTTGCAGTGTTTTTTCGTTATGTTTTTTATAGTTGTATTTGTGATTTCTTGGTCTCATTTTATAGAATGGAAGACATATTACAGAAATAGAGATAATTTTGATTGGTTTTAGCACTGGAAATGGCTTGAAACTGAGCTCAAAGTGGCGGAAATGTTAAATTTTTGCCGATGTTCAAGAGTAAACAAACGACCTCACACGTCTAATACACGCCAGCTGGTTGGTCTAATATACATTCATAAATGTGGTGATGATATTTATACAATTATTACAATATTGCATAACAGTAAATCTTCTATTTTTTGGTGTGAATAAAAATTCATTATGTGAATAAAAAATCAAAATGGAATTTATTTGTAAAGCCTCAAAACGTAACTAATGAACAGAGGAAATGTTAGTTTAGTGCCAGGAATACCTACATTGTTTATTCTGGATCCTATTTTGAAATTGGAATATTTTGAACTTTGTGTTAAATTGGCCAAATTACCAATTTCCGGTCACTTTATTTTGTAGTTGAAACAGTTGACTTGGCGATTTCTTGTGCTCAATCGATAGAATAGAAGGAATCCTAGTGAAATAGCTAAGAATTTGGTCGACTGGAATAATGTAATTGGCCTAAAATGGGAGTCAAAGTCGGCAAAATCGCCGATTCGTAAATATCGCTGACACATCAAAATTCACGAGAGCATAATTTCGTCAATTTCCCATCAAATTTCGTACTTTTTGTTTTATTACATTCACAAAAAGATTCTCTACCATTTCATAAGAAAAAAATAACAATTTTTTTTTTTTAAATTCTTGGACACTGGGGCACCACTTCAGATTTTGGCCTTGGACCCTGAAAGGGTTAAGGATCCCTAGCTTTATTGACAAGCTATTTACAGGTTAAGGATTCCTAACTTTATTGGCAAGCTAAGAGCTGTTACCTACATCAGCTCATTTGAAAGCATTTTTATTGTTATGAGACATACAAGTAGGGAACAGGATGAAGATGGAGCCATCTGTGGCCCAGCATTTTCATTTGATCAACTGACTTTATATCGTTGACATCATTATGCTGTACGAATGTGTTCCATACTTGAGTCATCCTGGGTATGTATGATCTCAGATGGAGTGATGTTCTGGAGAAGGGTACAGCCAGAGTGAAGTTGCTGCTTTCTGCCCGTCTTGTGCCATAAAAGCTTGTTTCACGCTGTCCTCGAAGTGGATCCAAGTGTGGTATTTTGACAATATTGGCCTTGTACATAACAGTAAGGCCACCCACATCCCTCCTATGTTGAAGGCTCTGCTGAAATGACAGATCTATCCAGGATGGGTCCAGGCGAGAGATGAGACGTCTTGCTCTGTTCTCTACTCTGTCAAGCAGTCGCAGATGAGAGGGGGGGGGGGGGGCAGGCAAACCAAGAAAGTGGAGCATACTCAAGGTGTGAGCGTACTTGTGCCTCGTACAGGATCTTGCAACCCCTACTGTCAAGCAGATGCGAGATACGGCGAAGTGCTGTAAGCTTCCTGGCTGCCTTGTTTGCAAGATTTACAACATGGTTCTTCATGGTTAGTTTGGAGTCAAATTTCACCCCAAGGATATCAACTTCTTCTCCAGGTGCCAACACCCTCCCATTCATCCTTACTACTGCACCAGCATTACCATCATGGTGCCTAGAGACGATCATCATTTGCGTTTTCTCAGGTGCAAATGTTACTTGCCATCTATTTCCCCAATCTGATATAGCTCTCAGCTGGTGATTGATGTAGCTTAGAGCAGCTGGCATTTCTTCTCTTGGATAAGTGAATGTCAGTGTACAGTCGTCTGCATATGCATGTGATTCTGGGATAAGATGAAGAAGGTCGTTGAAGTAGACATTCAATAACAATGGACCCAGCACGCTTCCTTGTGGAACACTTGCCCCAATAAGATGTCTTGCTGATTCCATTCCATTGAGAACTACACTTAGAGATCTACCATGAAGGTAATCACTGAGGAGACATAGCGTAGAGCCTGCAATTCCCAGTGCTTGAAGTTTTGCTAAGAGGCCCTGGTGCCACACCCGGTCGGAAGCGCCATGGGGAATTGGAACAGAATTCTTCCTCCGTGAGAAAGTGTGTCGTAAGAGGCGACTAAAATGCCGGGAGCAAGGGGCTAGTAACCCCTTCTCCTGTATATATTACTAAATTTAAAAGGAGAAACTTTCGTTTGTCCTTTTGGGCCACCCCTCCTCGGTGGGATATGGCTGGTGCATTGAAAGAAAGATTTCCAAAATGTTATACAGTCTTGTTATATCAAGGGTTCAGTGTAATGATTCATACCAAACTCACCTGTTCGCTCCCAGTAGCTTTCCCTGTGGATTCCTCCAGCGATCTGACATAACCACGTTTTATGGTTGTAAAATCTGGCAGCACATAGTCTCTTAAGATTGTATTTTCCTGTTTGTTGCCTCTGGCTATTGCCATGTCCGCATTAAAGTCCTGAGAAACATAACACGCATCTTCCTTGACCTGGTTGATCACGTACGTCTCGTCCATAACGTTCAGCTGTCTGCCGATATAATAACAAGGTTAGTTATCAATTATTAATTAAAGCTTAACTTTTGTAATCACAGAATGCACGGCATGGATTTACCGACCCATGCTGGGCAGGTCTTTCTCAGATCTAACTTCTATTCAACATTCCTTACCTAACCTTTCACATTACTATGCTCCCTATACAGGAATGAACTGTATGTATGGCTCTTAGATTTCAAACCCCTGGCAATAAGCAAAAGTCACCAGAAGGTGGAAAAGATAATTTTTTTTCATGTTTAAACTATCATATAATGTGTTTAAACTATCATATATTAAGCACTCAATATAGCTAGGCATAAGAACAGATAAAGTAAAATAAATACATAGTACATACAATACTTACATTAAAATGTGGCACTGGTCGCCCTTTCCTTACACAACTGTTGTGTGAAAACAGCAGAAAAGCGTCAAAAAGCACCAAACACACAAGGGGTCCCTGACTTACGGTGGGGTTACTTTCCAACAAAATCATCGTAAGTTGAAAATACCCTAAGTCGAATATAATATGCTAAATAAATATATAACTGCATGAACTCAATTTAAGTTACAATAAATGACTGTAAATGAATACAGACGCTCCTCACTTTACAAAGGTTTGACATGATATTTAGACTTTACAATAGTCCAACAGCAATTATTCTGGATATGAAATTTGAGATAATTGTTCAGCATGAAAGTGACAAGTTCATAACTTGTTTACTTTATAATACAGTTGACCCCCGGTTAACGAACTTTTTTCATTCCAGTAGTACTTTCAGGTGCCAGTACTGACCGAATTTTTTCCCATAAGGAATATTGTGAAGTAGATTAGTCCATTTCAGACCCCCAAACATACACGTACAAACGCACTTACATAAATACACTTACATAATTGGTCGCATTTGGAGGTGATCGTTAAGCGGGGGTCCACTGTACTGGTATTTAGTTACAGTAATTATTTGTGAGCTAGTGAACTCAGCTCACACACTGAGGTCCAGAGTTCGAATCTCCAGTACGGCTGGAATAAGTAAGTAAGTTTATTCAGGTATACACAAATACAGTTACATAGAATTATCATACATAGCAGCATATGTGTAGAGAACCTGGGATAACCCAAAAAAGACAGAGTGTTAGTCGACTGGTTTGGGTTGCATCTTAGGACAAAACTAACATAATTTACCTGAAATGCCTGGGCACAGACCGGGCCACAGGGGCATTGACCCCCGGAACTCTCTCTCCAGGTAATAACAAGCAGCTTTCTATATAATAGTATGTCATTGATGTCAGCTCGGCCTGTATACCTTGTACACGTACTTGTAGAAATAAAGATATTATTATTATAATTATTATTATTATTATTATTATTATTATTATCATGTTCATATTCGGCTTACGATATTTTCAACTTACGATGGGTTCTTCGGAACGTAACCCCATTGTAAGTCGAGGACCACCTGTACATCTGTCTTGTGACATCTTGCGTCACGCTCTTACCTGTAAGATATGATTTCTTTAAGATGGTTGGTGAGCACTTTACCACCCACATCAACTCTCAAAATGGCATCCTTCTGCTTCTTGCCTTGGATGTAAGGCACAATGTGTGTAAAACTGAAGCCCGACTCCACCAGTAAACAGCACAACTCCCGAGGTCGGTCCCGATGGTATTTGTGGACAGACAGGTCGCCAGCTGCAAGTCGGGAAAACTTTGAGGACGATGATTCATGAAATCACAGTAAGTCTTCAACTTGTGAACACATTGGGGACCTTTTGTATTGCGTATAATAATGATATACACAATACAGATGATTCTCAACGTATTAGTAAATAGAGGACTTACTGTAACAGGATTGCAAACGAACCATGGAACAGGTGGGGTTTGAACCAATGGCGGGTGGTTAAACTCAGGGGCCAATGCACTAATCACTGGGCCAGCTGGCTACAATAAGATTCATCCAACTAGGTATATTTCTATACACTTTACGGAGGTTAGCATAGGTCACCACTGAATAGGATTCATTTGTAAAATCCTGCATTTGTGGCCACAGTGATGGCCCATGCTAACCTCCCTAAGGTGTATGGAAATATGCCTAGTTGGATGAATCTTATTGTAGCCAGGTAGTTCAGTGGTTAGAGCACTGCCCCAGAGGCCTACTACTCATTATGGCTTTAAACCTCACCTATACTGTACTTTGAGGATGATGGCTACAGTGATAATGTCATGTATATGGAGGATTTATTCACCTTATTTACATTTATTCACCTTATTTACATTTATTCACCCAATTACCTCTCATTCCCAGCTGCTGTATGATTTCTACATGTTTGGCACCTCCCATGAATCATAATAAGTGGAACAGAATTTTTCCTCCATAAGCCATGCGTATCTTAAGAGGCGACTAAAATGCCAGGAGCAAGGGGCTAGTAACCCCTTCTCCTGTATGAATTACAGCCGTCTCCCACCCTGCCTCGGTGGGAGACGGTGCATTAAAAAAATAATAATAATATCAGTACATGTACAGTAGTAAGCTGTAAGATATTTAGTTACAGTAAGTATTTGTTTATTTACTTATTCAGTGACAGTAGTTACACTTACCAACCGACTTACCACCTGCTCGACTTACGACCACTCGACTTACGACCGTGTTTTTTATGCCAAATTTCTGGGAAATAAACAACTATTTGTGTTGTACAGTGTTTATCCTAAACCTTACAGTATAAAATACAGTACTAACAACATAAAAAGTAAAGTAAAACATGAAATACCAAAATAAAACAATAAAATATAGTCATTACAAAAATGTTATGTTGATATTCAGTAGTAAAGTTCGATTTACGACCATTTCGACTTACGACTGGTTTCTCGGAACTGAACTCGGTCGTAAGTCGGATGGTAGGTGTATTTATTTACTTATTTATTTAGCATACCATAATTCATATTTTATGTACCGTGCAATATTTTCAGTTTACGATGGTCTGTCGGAACATAACCCCACTGTAAGTCAAGGACCACCTTCATATTTAATCTAAAATGAGAAAAATGTTACACACTGGCCATCTCCCACCAAGGTAGGGTAACCAAAACAGAGGAAACACATTCACCATCATTCACTTGATCAAAATCTTGGAAGAAGTGTGCTAATATCACAATTCACACAGACAAAACATACCATTAATTCTAAGCAAGGCATCGACATCGTATTCTTCGAAAAATATTTCACTTAGTGCCTCCTGTGTGCTGGTGAAGTTAAAGTAAGGTTCGGTGATGATCATCGTGGTGTTGGAATGGTTTACGTTGAACACGTCTTTACCAAACATGTAGTCCCATATAGTTTTTTGAATGTCCCAGTTGACCAAATATCCCTGAGAGGAAGATATATTTAGTTTCTCTACTGCTGAGATTGTTCTGCCTGCTCAGCAGGCTTCCTAAGTTGAAATGCAGAGGTGGCTAAATGCTGGAGGTAACAGGGTAGAGTTTGATATAAGGTGATCAGTCCCTCAGCCAGGAGAAGAGACTCATCATCTTACACCTATTTCTTGGTAATTCTGTTGTCTACAATGAGGTGATCAGTCCCTCAGCCTTGAGGAGAGACTGATCACCTTTAATAATCTATTTCCAGGTTAACTCTCTTGTCTATGAAGCAGAACTCTTCTCCAGGCTGAGGGACTGGCTACCTCAAAACTACATCTACCAGGGTGATGGACTGATTACATCATCTTTATGTCTCTACTGCTTCTGCCGTCACCTCTGTATTCGACTGAAGAGGCCAACTGTGTAGGTGAAACATTTCAGAACCAAGTTACTTAACTGTTGCACATGTGTCTAACTTATCAACTTGCTGGCATCATATACCATTATCATATTTTCACTAAATATACCAAAGTATAACACATTTCACTCATCAATCTGTCAGTATAGTATACCACTAAAATAACAATATATATACATGTATACATCTGTCAAAGTATTTCTTCCATCTATTGATCTAACTATATTATCTGAAATTTAAGTCTTTTTGGGGAAATCTTCACAGGTTCTAACCCCGCCCATGGTAGGGTTTATATCCCACCAAGGTACAGTGGCCCAAAAAAGAAAAACTTTCACCATCATTCACTCCATCACTGTCTTGCCAGAGGCGCGCTTACACTAAAGTTATAAAACCGCAAAATTAACACCCCTCCTTCTCATCCAACTTACGATATTTTCAACTTATAATGGTTCGTTGGAATGTAACCCCATCGTAAGTCAAGGAGCACCTGTATTTCACCATTGCTCACCTTCTGGAAAGGTAGAATGTAGAAGAGACCAGAAGCATCTCTACAATCTTCCACTTGGTCTGCTATAAAAGGTCGTCTCCTCTCACTCTTGGCCTTCATGATTGCATTGGGCATTATTCTGTTGATAAGTAAGTTTATTTAGGTACAGGTACACGTAAGTATAATTATCATACATAGTGTAAATTACCATCCAGCATAAGTCAAAAATAAGTCAGACGAAGTGACTTGTTTCCATTGGGGTCCTTATGATATCCTGTGACTGTTCAATGTCTCGCGTTGTTCTCCGCTGTCCACTAAAAGGCTTTGTTTATACAGTAGGACTCCCATATCTGCGGGGGATACATTCAAAGGACCTGCCATGGATATAAAAATCACGAACAGTAGCGAACTCTATATATAAGTTGTATACATACCTATTATAAAGTTTAATTGATAAATTATGCACAAAAAATAAATGGAGAATTACCACTTTTTCACTGATGGGAAACACTTTGTGGCTTCTCTTAGGCTTTGAAGGACTGACGTCATCACTCTGAGGACATTATTAAGGGGGACAGGAGCTATGTCTCGACTCCTGCAACCACACTTAGGTGAGTTCACACACAATGTGCACGCACACACACATGAATGCACAAACGAACGCACACACACACACATGAACAATATTTTAATATACGATACAACCACAGTGAACAGCAGCAATATTAATAACGTAGCTGTTTTTATTTCTCACTTGTTTTATTTTTGCTGTTTTACCGCTAGTCCTTGATGTGATAATCCACGAAATAACCTTTAACATTGCTGTTTCACTGCGGTGCTTGTGACCTGGTCGGTAGCATCCTCAGCTCACACACTCACTGTCCGGGATCAATCCCAGACGCAGGTAAATTATTATAATCATAACTAAGCACTCAACCCACACGGGTCATTGCTAACTCATTCAGCTCACACAATGAGGTCCGGAGTTCGAATCTCCGGTACGACTGGAAAACATTACGACGTGTTTCCATAAGACACCTGTTGTCTATTATTATTATTATTATTAATGTCAGGTATGGGGTAATTGTTACGAGACATTTCAACCCGCCCCAGGATTGAATCTGGCAGCTTCCATTGAGCCACAATTGTGTTATAGTGATGTCATGAGGTGCTAAACCCATATGGGCCAAAACAATATCATATAAGCTCCAATTCCTTGGATTAAGAGGCCAGCTTCTCCACAGAGCCGAGCCACGAGTCACCTCATAAACGGTACCAGCAACTTTATCCCAACAAAAAACAACTAAACTAAGACAAACTACAACAAAAACAACAAAATAAGTTGTACCTGGGTTCATTTTGGTTGGAAAATCCTCCTTTAATAGAGTAAGCGCCATTATCCAGGATGAAAACATTAGCCATGTTGTTATTGTTATTGTTGGGTGTTAAGGGTTGTCAGAGGGAGAGAGAGAGGAGCCGCACACACATTACCGTACACCAGCATGGTCAGATAAGATTTTCTTCGGATTTTTAACCTGGGAAGGTTAGCCACCCAGGATAACCCAAGAAAGTTAGTGCGTCATGGAGGACTGTCTGTCTTATTTTCATTGTGGTCCTCAATCTTGTCCCCAGGATGCCACCCACACCAGTCTACTAACACCCAGGATGCCACCCACACCAATCCTCTAACACCAAGGATGCCACCCACACCAGTCCACTAACATCCAGGATGCCACCCACACCAGTCCACTAACACCAAGGATGCCACCATACTAGTCCACTAACACCCAGGATGCCACCCACACCAGTCCACTAACACCCAGGATGCCACCCACACCAGTCCACTAACACCCAGGATACCACCCACACCACTTCACTAACACCCAGGATGCCACCCACACCAGTCCACTAACACCCAGGATGCCACCCACACCAGTCCACTAACACCTAGGTACCTATTTGCTGCAAGATGAACAGGATATTTCTACCCCGCCGGGAATCGAACCCGGGCCCTCCGTGTGTGAAGCGAGAGCTTTAGCCACCAGGCTCTGGTGTGGACTGGTGTGGGTGGCATCCTGTGTGTTAGTGGACTGGTGTGGGTGGCATTCTGGGTGTTAGTGGACTGGTGTGGGTCGCATCCTGGGTGTTAGTGAACTGGTGTGGGTGGCATCCTGGGTGTTAGTGGACTGGTGTGGGTGGCATCCTAGGTGTTAGTAGACTGGTGTGGGTGGCATCCTGGGTGTTAGTCGACTGGTGTGGGTGGCATCCTGGGGACAAGATTAAGGACCCCAATGGAAATAAGTCAGACAGTCCTCGATGACACACTGACTTTCTTGGATTATCCTGGGTGGCTAACCCTCCGGAGTTAAAAATCCGAACGAAATCTTATCTTATCTTCCATACTTACCAATAATTTTTTTCTGGTACCCGAAAAAAGGTTTCAATAAGGCGTCAACTCCGGTGTCCCTTAACAACCCCAACAACAACAACACTTGGCTCCATTTTCCTTTTCCATCCGGATTTTTCTCTTATTTCCTCCTCTGACGCTAGATACAAATTCTATATAGCGTAAGTTATCACTGGGACATCTATTAACAATTTCTATTTTCAGAAATATATATATTTTTACAAATTTTTGAGTAATTTTGGGTTAAATAATGTATAATATAAACCCCTCTCCGGGGAGGTACCTGCCTCTTGTCATGTGATTGGCCGCCCATACGAGTTTACCTCTCCTTCCCTTGATTGTCAGGGTCTTGATCCAAGGGATTGGAGCTACTCTGTTCATGGATTGCCTCCAGGCACTGTATGACCCTTACAGGTTGTGTTGCGAGCGCACTCACCTTCAAAACTAGGGAGGCCAAGCCCATGATGACACTCTTCAGGTCACTTGTTCTATCTAGGCTGGAATATTGCTGCACACTGTACCTCAACATTACAAAGGCACATAATGGGTCCAGGAACTACACCACAACATTACAAAGGCACATAATGGGTTCAGTCGGAGGATCTCACCTTCAAGGACCATAACATTGTATCAATCGCATCTGCTAGAAAAATGACAGGATGGATAATGAGAACCTTCAAAACTAGGGAGGCCAAGCCCATGATGACACTCTTCAGGTCACTTGTTCTATCTAGGCTGGAATATTGCTGCACACTAACAGCACCTTTCAAGGCAGGTGAAATTGCCGACCTAGAAAATGTACAGAGAACTTTCACGGCACGCATAACGGAGATAAAACACCTCAATTACTGGGAGCGCTTGAGGTTCCTAAACCTGTATTCCCTGGAAGCAGGCGGGAGAGATACATGATTATATACACCTGGAAAATCCTAGAGGGACTAGTACCGAACTTGCACACGAAAATCACTCACTACGAAAGCAAAAGACTTGGCAGACGATGCACATCCCCCAATGAAAAGCAGGGGTGTCACTAGCACGTTAAGAGACCATACAATAAGTGTCAGGGGCCCGAGACTGTTCAACTGCCTCCCAGCCACATAAGGGGGATTACCAACAGACCCCTGGCAGTCTTCAAGCTGGCACTGGACAAGCACCTAAAGTCAGTTCCTGATCAGCCGGGCTGTGGCTCGTACGTTGGTTTGCGTGCAGCCAGCAGCAACAGCCTGGTTGATCAGGCTCTGATCCACCAGGAGGCCTGGTCACAGACCGGGCCGCGGGGGCGTTGACCCCCGGAACTCTCTCCAGGTAAACTCCAGGTTGTGGAGTGTCCAGGGTTCAGTCTCGGGCACAGGCATTGAACCTGTTTATCTAGCAGTAATTAGGTACCTGGGTCACCTGCTGTCATTGTTCACCTAGCAGTAAGTAGGTACCTGGGTGTTAGTTACCTTACACCTGCTGTCACTGTTCACCTAGCAGTAAGTAGGTACCTGGGTGTTAGTTACCTTACAGCTGCTGTCACTGTTCACCTAGCAGTAAGTAGGTACCTGGGTGTTAGTTACCTTACACCTGCTGTCACTGCTCACCTAGCAGTAAGTAGGTACCTGGATGTTAGTTACCTACACCTGCTGTCACTGCTCACCTAGCAGTAAGTAGGTACCTGGGTGTTAGTTACCTTACACCTGCTGTCACTGCTCACCTAGCAGTAAGTAGGTACCTGGGTGTTAGTTACCGTACACCTGCTGTCACTGTTCACCTAGCAGTAAGTAGGTACCTGGGTGTTAGTGGACTGGTGTGGGCGGCTAACCCCCCTCCTGGGTTATCCTCAGTGGCTAACCCTCTGAGTTAAAACTCCAAACAAATCTTATCTTATTCCTCAGGCACTATGTAATCCAAGTTATTGATGTCAATGTGTCCCATAATACCTTCTTACGTGACTTAGTCCAAATAAGGAGTCAACTTAGGTATACGTAAACTCAATTTTAATTATAATTCACGTTTTGAGGGTAATTTATTAAGCTAATTATATTTACTGTACCATTTTGTCATTTGTAAGTGGCTGTCCCATCATGTCAATGAAAGGCTCATCATCCAAGGTAATGGATCGAAACTAATACTCATTTATTATCAAAACTGTTAATGATTTACTTTTTTTTGACAGTTTCCCGCTTACCGCTAAAATTAAAATATTTTGACTGAAAAATCTATTATTTTGGAGGCAAAGTTTCTAATCTTCTGAGATTTTATTGTACTTTTAATGTCTTTTTTTTTTAAGTATTTAATTCATGTTCTCCTAGTGCTGTATGACTCGTACACATTTAGTGCTTTCCAGTTTGCATAATACTCATAACATTGAGCTTCTTGGCACGTGTACAAATATATTAGGTTTGAAAGTTACGTTAGAAGGTTGGGTTAGGTTAAAAGGTTAAGGTTAGACTAGAAGGTTAGGTTAGACTAGGTTCAGTTAGAACATTAGTGTAGGTTAGAAGGTTATGCTATGTTAGAAGAGGCTGCAGAAGCTGTCATCATTTGACCGTTCTCACTCGAGCCATTTTATGCCTTAGAGGAAATATTCTAGTTAATATTTAACCCGTAAACGGTCCAAACGTATATATACGTTTTTTCAACGTTTGAAAATATGTAAAAAAGTAGATCTTCTTTTTGTTTTTTTACATTTGAAAATGTGTAAAAAAAAAACTTTGATCTACTTTTTTTTTTTTTTTACATTTGAAAATATGTAAAAAAAACGTAGATCTACTTTTGTAGCTCTACACATGTGAACGTAGATCTGCTGGGACCGTTTACGGGTTAAATATTTCTTGCATCTTTGATATTTATAGGAAGCCTTAAAGTGTCAGTATTATTAATATTGCTTTCCATTCTAGATTCTCAAAATGGCAGCATCTGACATAGCTTCGGAAATTGAACAAAGGTATGACATTGTTATTTTCTTTCTTTCAACACACCGGCCGTATCCCACCAAGGCGGGGTGGCCCAAAAAGAAAAACGAAAGTTTCTCTTAAATTTAGTAATTTATACGGGAGAAGGGGTTACTAGTCCCTTGCTCCTGGCATTTTAGTCGCCTCTTACAACACGCATGGCTTACGGAGGAAGAATTCTGTTCCACTTCTCCATGGAGTGACATTGTTATATTGTTCTCAAATGATCCGTGATAAAGTCATGGGTGGAATAATATTAGACATTACAAGGCAGAGCAGCATCCCTCCAATGTAAAGCATGGGTGCCATGAGTACACTGAGAGGCCCAAGACTGTTTATCTGCCTCCCAGCATACATAAGGGTGATTACAAATACAGTGGACCCCCGGTTTACGATCAGCTCCCAATGCGACCAATTATGTAAGTGTATTTATGTAAGTGCGTTTGTATGTGTATGTTTGGGGGTCTGAAATGGACTAATCTAATTCACAATATTCCTTATGGGAACAAATTCGGTCAGTACTGGCACCTGAACATACTTCTGGAATGAAAAAATATCGTTAACCGGGGGTCCACTGTATATCCCTGGTTGTCTTCAAGACCCCTGGCTGTCTTCAAGACCCCTGGCTGTCTTCAAGACCCCTGGTTGTCTTCAAGACCCCTGGCTGTCTTCAAGACCCCTGGTTGTCTTCAAGACCCCTGTCTGTCTTCAAGAGGGAACTGGACAGACACACACAGGCAGTACCTGACCAGACGGGCTGTGGTTCCTATGTTGGTTTACGTGTGGCCAACAGTAACAGCCTGGTTGATCATGTTCTGATCCACTACAAGGCCTGGTCACAGACCAGGCCACAGGGGTCATTAACCCCCAAAACCCTCTCCAGGTATACACCAGTAGAAATAAGTCACTGACTAACTTGTTATGCCATGTTACTACGTATGATAATTATACTGTACTTACATGGACCTGTACCTAAATAAACTTAATCCTATATAAGATACTGGTTTAACAACTGCTCATAACCCCTCCGATTTTTTTCTTTGGTAACTCTTTGCCATCTTCATATTTGTGTGTTTCGGATTCTTTTATTAATTTTTTTATTAACACATCGGTTGTTTCCTGCCAAGGCAGGTGACCTGAAAAAAGA